CAGTCAGCTGAAGTGGCCTGCAGTACTGCACTCTAACCACTGAGCCACCTCGGCTCTTTTATTTTATACATGGCTATAAAATTGCAGAAGTCAACAATGGACTAGATTGTGTGAAAGGAATATGCTGTTCTTCAGTCTCAAGGACATTAATGTGAACAGAAAGAGCCTGTTTTGTTTTGTTTTTTGCATTGCCCGAAGGTAATCAGAAGGTGTTGTCCCACATTTTCCTACTGAAATCAGAATGCATCAGATTAGAAAGCAGTGAAGCCACATCAGGCAGAACCCCCTCCATCTGAACTTAAGCATTCAAAGAATAAGGCATGCTGAGTCTCAGCTGTGGATTGCTGACACAGATGTCAAGAACTTCTGAATTCACTACTAGCATGAAACAGTGCAGTTTCAAGCAGCCATTTTTCTCTGCACTTTTGCCCAAGACAGAGAGTTTTTGAAGTTTTCAATCAAATGACTTGTGTTCAATATTTTCATGATGTTTTATATTTCCATAAAGAATTCTTTTTCCTAAGCAGAACTGGCAAAGGCAGAAGCCACTGCTTGTTATTCTACTTGGTTTAAAGTAGACACAGGAAGGCAATTGAACACAAAGGTTCATGTCATCAGTTAGCAGTTAAATGGCATGACCAAAAACCCCTGATCTCAAACCACACTGATAGTAAACAACACCAGTTTGATTGGAACAAAAATCATTGGCCATACCAACACCTGCCACTGCCACTTTCCCACTTGATTCATTGTTAAGATTAGGATCGATCTTTTGGATAAACAAAGTTAGGGCTTGACTTACAGCAGTCTGTTCAAAGTTATAACAGCACTGAAAAAAATTCAGATGCTTGGCAATTGACTCATACGGTAATATTCTGAGTTGAAGTGTCCTGGGTTCATGTGATCACCTTTTGTGACTTTCTGACAATTAAAGTCAATGGGGAAGCCAGTTTCATTAAACAACCAGGTCACTAATTAACAACTGCAATGATTCACTTAACAACTGTGGCAGGAAAGGTTGTAAAAAGGGACAAATGTACTTAATAAACATCTCACTTAGCAACAGAAATTTTGGGCTCAATTATGGTCGTAAATTAAGGACTACCTATAAGCAGCTTATTTTTAGATCAAGGACGTTGTGCAGTAATAATTTCTGCTAATTAGACATGAATGCATCAAATATTTCAGAAATTCCACTTTTCTCTCTATTGCAGTTAAATATTCAAAGGTCTGAAATTACAGTCTGGGCTGTCAGGAAGCTTTGCCTGGATACAAAATCCTTAATATTGTCATTTTTAAGAATCTCTTAACAGCCTTCTGAAGTGGTTGCAACAGCTGAACAAATGGCAGCTGCCTTGAGTAGTTACTGAATCTAGGCAGCTCAGGAGCTCTCTCTGTAATTCCTTATATGGAGGATTTTCCATATAGAGAAAACTCTGCTGCTAGTTAAGCCTCACTCTCAGTCTGCATGTCCCACTCCAGAGGCTTGCTTCTCTGTGAACACTGTTATTATTTACGTTATCATTCTTCTTAAGCCCTATGAGATCATCATCGGTTTTGTTGCTTGGTTGGTTTCTACAAGAGGTTCATATTCTTTCTCCCCATTGTATTATTTTTTTAAAAGTGGATGCAGATACAGGTAGTTCTCAATTTATGACAATTAAGCCCAAAATGTATGTTGTTAAGTGAGAACTTTGTTAAGTGAATTTTGCCCCATTTTAGAATAGAATAGAATAACAAGAGTTGGAAAGGACCTTGGAGGTCTTCTAGTCCAACCAAGCAACA